AACGCTCAATCTTTTTTTGTTGTCCGTCTTTGGCATTTAAAACTAACTAGTATTAGCAGTATATAGTAAAAATATTCACTTCTAAGTGAGGTTCTTGAAGGTGTGGATTAATTTTAACAATGAATAACTACGTTCGTTTAGAGCTAGAATTTGCTTTTACGGTGATTTTTTTGTTAGTGAAACGTTACGTTCCTAAAAAGTACTTTAAAGTGTATAAATAAGTTACCAGGGCAATAGCCAATCAGATGAATGTCGTCCTATGACCAATGCACCATATAAAGAGAGTATACTCCATATTATTAATACGAATTTAATTTTTTAGACAAATTTGTCTAAAATACAATTTAAATAATAGTACGTAAATCAAATTAACACATCTAAAACTTATATAATATTAAAATTTTATCAATACTGTTTGTACAAAGTACAAATAAAATTAAAATTTTTGTAAAATATTTTACATTTAAATTTATTATTGTAATATGTACCAAAGGTTAAATAACCTGGCATCTGAATCAGTTACAAATATGAAAGAATCTTCGTTCAAATTCATCCAGAGTCATTATTTCAACCTATTATTAAAAGCAAATTGGAATTTAAATTTAATAGTAAAAAATACCACAATATTATATTAATAACTTACACCATATGCAGTTGTCATTTCCAATGAATACTTTTGATCATCAATAATAATAAAATATCTATGACTCTTATAATACTTATTAAATATAGTATTCATTGATGTATAACAATATTCGTTCATATCGACTGTCTCCTATTATGATATAAATAAATAAATAAAACTTTAAGCATTCTCATCGCAAAACGATAATAAAAATATACATAAGAATTCTATTTCATCCGGGTTAAAGTCATCCAATATGCTATATTGGTATTTATATGATCAAACCTAATGACTTGCATATATGTTGTGGGCTGATCTATTAATTCTGATCAAATATTAATCTGAGGCACAACATATATATACACACATACACATGTTATGTATGTAAACCCGTAAAAATTTCATTGTACCAGACTTGAGCTGGATTAAATTATGCAATATCATAATTTTTCCGAGGTTAAGTCGGTATGATGTAAATTTAAATTCTTACGCGCTTACCGTATTTGCGTGAAATAGCGCCCAGGACGTTCGTTATTTTGAGGCATGTAATTTAAGAGACCTCAATTCATTTAACCGAATATTTTTACTATATACTGCTAATACTAGTTAGTTTTAAATGCCAAAGACGGACAACAAAAAAAGATTGAGCGTT